CTACCACCGTCTAGTTGTTTTATTGCACAGTATATTTTGGGGAACTCCCAAATCATTCTGTCTCCAGGGTGACCTGCCTCCTTTATTCCCTTTCACCTCTTGCCCAGACCTGTGCAGTAGTCTTCCAACCCATCTCCCTGCACATCCATCTCTTTATTCTAATTCCCTCTTCACAGTATTCTGTGGTTATTTTTCTAAAGCAGAGGTGAGATTCTTTCCTTCTCAAACCCTTCAATTACATTCCATTTCTATAGAATGAAGGGAAACTTCTCACCATTTCCTTTCAGGCATGATAAGCTACCACTCACTCATCTTTCAAATTATCTCTCAGTACGTCATACATTTTTGTCACAGCCCTATCTGTAGACCCAGCTATCTCAGAAACCCACTGCTAGATACCCCATATTACCATGCCCGGCTTATGGCCTTTTTTTTTTTTTTTCCACCACCTCTCTGAAATGTCTTTCCTTCTATTTTCTGACTGTAGACACTTGAATACTTCCAGGTTCAACCAAAACCCACCCCTCTGGGACACTTCCCCTCAACTTCCCAAGTGGAAACAAAGGCTCCATTCTTTTGCTCACTTGAACGTTAAGCCTATAACTGTCAAGATGTGCATTTAACGGCCTCTTGCTGCAGCAAGCTCGTTTAATGATGTCTTCCCCACTAAGCTGTAGCCCCCAGGGGTCAAGAACCACATCTCCTTCATTTCCACAATTCACAGTGTCCCAGAAGAGAACATTCTGCAATGACACATGTTTAGTCAATATTTGCTGGAGGAAAAGCTCAAGATATGCCTGGGGAAATAAGAGAATACTGGAACATTTATGCAAACATTTGCAACATTGGTAAACCCCTCTCTGCTTGAAAGTCACTTAGGGAAGGGAGAAAGCTATCACAGGTATTCTGTGCTACCTTCTCAGTCATATATTCTTTCAGTGAACTCAGATCTCTTTTCCACCATGGTCACATGACTCAAATGTACATTCACTCTTTTTTAAAAAATGAGTAGATACTTAAAAAAAATGTTAAGGTTTTTAAAAAATAAAATAGTTTTTTGCATGGACCATTGGACAGTTAAAAAAAAAAAAAAAAGACCAATTCCTGACAGGACGGAAATCCCAAAGTTAACTGATGATTGGCTTTAATCAGAAATAGCTCTCTATTTTTTGTGTCAAGAAAAAAGCCACCCAAATCTGTTCAGAGTGATGAAAGCCAGTCTCAATAACATGATTGTTTTGCAT